GAGAAGGTGAGTCTTAAAAACAAACGATATTTTTAATATAAATCTTAATAATCTTCAATAATGAATTTATTCATCAAAAGTCTATCTCTAACATATCTAAGTATTTTTGATAACGTTTTTATTTATCCTATTCAAATGAACTCATATAATAACCTATACCTTCATCGCCGCAATCATATTCTTAAAAACCCCCACTTTATGTATGGATTATCGGATCTGTAAGAACACAACCTACTCCTTACAAATTGCAAATTAAATAATCCAAATCACTAATGTAGTATTGCTTAATAGATTATCATCACTATTTATATATCCTTGGTCACTATTATATCTTACAAAATCTCCCTTTTAAAGTCTCTCTGCAATCCAAAAGATCTCTAAATAATTAAAAAACAAATTTACTTTCATTTTCTTTAAGAATTAGGAGATCTGAAAATATAATAGGAGGAATTTTGCACCCTTTCTCATTTAATTACAAAACAAATTTTTGCATTAGTCTTTTCGAAATTAGATGGGATTTAGATTCTTGAATTGCTTCATTCATTTATCTTTATTTTATTCTACTTTTGAATATAAAAATAAATACCCAATATTCTTCTTAAGAATAAATACATCATCCTTAAAAGTTACTATCTTTTTATTTTCATTAAGTAAACTTCTTTATTCTCACTGAAAATTAATGGTTGCAAAGTTCTTACACAACACCTGTCACCATGGCATGTTACTGTATAATCATCAGGGATCCTTAACCTTTAGATTTAGGTAATATTGCTGTCAAAGGATTGTTAGTTAATTTCTATGCTAAGGAACTTAAAAGTATTTTGAATTTTATTTATTTTTGGATCTAACTCGAATTTCGTGTATTCAGGTAAATGCTTAAATACTTCTTATAAAATATCAGGATCTCGAAGAGTTGCTTTTTTCTTCTTTTGGAAAACTGAGGGATGATATTCGATGTAACGCTCATATTCTTGACGTTTTGGACATTCGTCTAATAATTATGTTTGCTTTTAGGGTTATTTCATTTCTTTTAAAGATTTATTAGGTGTTTCCTATTTCCTCTCCTTTAATCGTGACTCTGATATGGAAGGCTCTAATAATTAAGATGTATATTGTGCAATTGGTGTACTTAATTTCTTAATCCAATTATTTAATTATATTAACATTTCTTTTGAACAATTCTGAATCTCTTTTTCTAAGCCTTTCTCAAAATCACTTTAAAATTAAAAAATTTCGTCTATTATTGTCTTTAATTTCGATTCATTTAATTCTTAAAGTCTCTATTGATTATATTGATATTTATCTCTCAACTTGTAAGTTAATTCATTAAAATTTTCTAAAATTTCTTGTAAGCTCTCTTATAATTTCTCTATGTAAAGCTCTATTTTTTTCCCAATATCTTCAAAAAATCCAATTAATCCTTTTTCATCTTTTAAATTATTTTGACAAGCAAAATGTTCAATTCTTTTATCACATTTAAGACAATAAACTCTATTAACAGCTTTACATGAATTATTTAAGCAAACCTATTGAAAAAGATTCATTTTCCCACATGAACAATATATCTTTAGATTTCTTATTTAGTTCATCTATTTATTATTTATATTTCTATTAACTTTTTCAATTATGGTTTTATTTCATAATAATCTCATCAATATTTTCATGATTAAACCAATTGCAAACTTATGATATTGCATTAAGAATGATGGATTTACTAAAACTATCATATAAACAATTGTGAACTAAAGTATTGCTTCATTGGACCTAAAATTAATTTTGTTTTCAATTATAGTGAAATCAAAATTATCTGAACACACCATTAAAGTAACTAAGAGCAATTTAGGGATAGAATTTCAATTCAGAGTTTATTCTATATTATTCAAAATGAATCTATTTAAATTAAAAACTCAAACAAACTATTAATGAGATTTCCAATTTTTTAACTAAATGTTATCAATTAATCAATAATTTTTTGAATATTTAATTATTATTACATTAAATCTTGATTGAGGATTATAATGTTTATATAATATATAGTAATTAATCTATTTAAGTTTTATCATCAATTGATATTTTAGAAGATTGGGTTTATACAAGAAGCTTTAACAATGTTTTCTTAATTCTACTTCTCCACTCAAAATCTCTTATAGAACGAAATATTATAAAGTCTACATCTTATTCTCAAAATAATTAAATACAGTGTATTTATTATTATACAATATAAAAGAAACCGAAAAATTTAATAAAAAGGGAAA